GGGGGCGCGGGGGAGGGCGCCCTTCGCGGGGGATCCCCATACCCAGGCTGCAGGCGGTGCCCCGTGGGCCCTGTGAGGTGCCCGGGAGAGGCGCTGCGGATGGGCGCCGAGTGCCGTCTCGCTTTGTGCCGCTGCTTCGCGGGACTGGGGCCGGAGAGTGTCACAGTCTTCTCCTGGGGCTGGAGAGTGTCACGTTCAACCCTCATACATGTGAATGAAAAACATGCCGACACTGCTAGTTGCTTTTTACAGGTAGGCGTTGCAGTGGATGATAATCAAACTTGATTTTTCATGTGCCTACATGTTTTCAGTGAGGACTGAAAGGGCTAACCCATTAAATCAACAAAGCTGTCAGGAGACCTTAATTTGTACAGCAAATCACATATGAAATACCTTTTACATCTTAAATAACTGATTTTTGTCCACAATTTAGGAGGTGGTAGAGAATGTCTTTTCGTGGAAGAGGAGGTGGAGGAGGAAGAGGAGGTGGCTTCAGTCGTGGAGGAGGTGGAGGTGACAGAGGTGGCTTTAATCGTGGTGGACGAGGTGGCTTTGGACGGGGAGGTGGACGAGGAGGCTTCAACAGAGGCGGATATGACCAGGGGCCTCCAGAAAGGGTAGTTTGTAAGTCACATGAAGAGATTGTGTTTAATTTAGAATGACTGCTCCAGATCTTTAGCTTGTTTGTTCTTTATTTCAGTATTGGGAGAGTTCATGCATCCGTGTGAAGATGACATTGTTTGTAAATGTAAAACAGAAGAAAACAAGGTGCCTTATTTCAACGCCCCAGTGTACTTGGATAATAAGGAACAGATTGGCAAGGTGGATGAAATCTTTGGACAGCTGAGAGATTTTGTATCCTTCAAAAAAATGTGTGACGTACAGGATTTGTTTTTTAAAGGGTGATTGATTATTAAATGGAATTTCTCTAGGATTTTAAAATAATTCAAGGCTTGGCTACCAGTTAGATGTGAACAGTCACAAGTCTAGCTGCAACTGTTGGTGTCAGTAGGTGCCTCATTCACATTAAGTGCCTATCTTAAAGCTTTTCCAATATGACAGAGTCCGTTAGGTCAGGCAGAGGTTTTCAGTCAGTACGAGTACTGGCAGATGTCTTTTGGATCCATGGTGGTTCAAGATGTTCGAGCTTTTTCTAGCTACCTGACCAAATTTTCTGCTATAGGTTACTCACCTGTAATAGAGTTGGATCAAGGGAGCGGGGTTTTTTTGTGCATTAGGGGACCTTGCTCATGTTCCAGCTTATTAATTACAAAGATGAGTTTGTGCTAAGATGTCCTATTGCTTGTTGTCCAGCTTGTTACTTAAACTGCCAATAAAAGTGTGGGCTTGTGCTAGGGCGTCCTCTTGCAAAGCAGGCTTGCTGAGACAGAGGCACTGGGTCCATTCTGTTGTCACTGCCAGATTGACAGAATCCATGACAAAAGCAGGACAACTGGGGGAGTAACCCTGTAACATGGCAGTAAGACTTAGCCTGTGTTGCTGGTTGAGCATCAGTAACTACCTGCATGCATTTTCCTGTCCCACATTAAATGTGAAGTAAAATGTGCAGGTTTAAATCACTCTCAGGCTCTGAATGAATTAACTTGCAGATTTACTTTTTGTATCAGAATTATTTGAATTTCAGAAACTTGTTTTCTTCCTACAATAACATACTAAGAAAATATGTTATTGGATTTTGCAGCTCTTTGCTTCCCCATTTAATCTTCAGTTCTAATTAAACAGAGTTGGCCAGCAGCTCTTTCTGATCTTAGGAACCGCATACCGAAGTCCTTGCACACTGGAGAGCCAACGGATTCCTACAAGACTGCGTGTGGGGTTACAGAGAGCATCTGCCCCTTCACTGTAGGATGAGGCTGGACATGTGGTTGGTGCAGCAGTCCCTGCTGGCTCTTATCTTTCCACAGCCAGGCAGTTGTACCACCCAGCAGCAGCAGCACTAGCAGAGCCCTGCGGCATGTAAATTGTTCCAGATAAGCCTTGAGGTCACCCTGGGGCTAAAGGGGTCGTCACTTGCTGTAAACATTTGTTTCTTTACAATTACGTTTTTATGTACTCTCTTCACTGGTATGTTCTTCCTTATGCCTTAGTACGTGGAAGGAAAAAATGATTTTACCACGAAATACCATATTTGTAACTTTGAAAAAGTTTGAAAAAGCCCTGAGGAAAATTGGAAATAGTTTCTCCTGACTTTTTAATTGTAGTTTTTCATTTGCGGTGATGATGTTTAGCTTAATTTATAAAATACTAATTTAGAAAATGTCTGAATGTGCCTTTCATATAATAATCAAAATCACAATTTCTAGTGTTTTATTCCTGCTATGTTCCTTAAAGAAACTAACAGTATTTTTCAGTGAAACTGTCTGAGAACATGAGAGCCTCTTCATTTAAAAAAATGCAAAAGGTTAGCCAATCTCAATAACAGAGTTCTACTGTATGTCATCAGTGAAATAAATCTATGTCATCAGATAATAAAAGCTGTATTAAGTTTTTATTAACTTTAAAAGCCAGTTGTCTTTTGTAAACATAAGTGTTAATTTCCTGTTCCTTTTCACTTTTGTATCTGCCACGTTCCTCCTTCTCCCGCCCCACAAAAAAACATGTAAAAGATGAAACTCGTGCCAATATCATCTATATTTTAATAACTTTATAACACTGTGATTTATTTCCTGCGTGCTTTCTTTATTTGGCTATTTGCAGAGGACAATTTGACATAAAGGGTTAAGACCAAATTGTGGATATTTGTAAAGGGAGATATTAATGTGCTCTTTAGCCATGGTATTTTCAAAGCCTAATGGAACTCTCTTCCTACAGTTTTACATTGATCCAGCAAAGCTGCTACCCCTTCAGAGATTTTTGCCAAGGCCACCTGGAGAAAAAGGTGCTCCCAGAGGAGGTGGTAGAGGAGGACGTGGTGGTGGACGTGGAGGAGGAAGAGGTGGTGGTAGAGGTAAGATCCCAAGAATGGAAGCTGCAGAATGTTGGGTTTTTTTGGTGTGGGGTGGGTTGTTTCGTCTTTTTGGTTGTTTTTTTTTGTTGGTTTTTGGTTTTTTTTTTGTAAAGCTGCAGTTGAGTACTTGAATATCAACAGTTGTACTGCAAAGAAAAATGTTATGCATACTTCTGTTTGATGACTCAATGGAAGAGACAGTGATATCTTTCCAATGGCAAGACCTAGGCTTCTGTAGTTAGCTAAGTAACAGCTCCAAAGCATGGGAAGGAGAGTGTGCTGATTTATAACAAAGACAGAAAGTGTGACTACTAAGCAAACTTGTGGTAAAAGGTTGTAGATAGTACACACTTGAAACTGTCAGTGAAAGCTGTATTTTTAGTATGTTCTAAAAATCTAGTTTGGACAAAATACTTGAAATGCAGTGTTTGAGAGAGGGGTGAATGACCTGCTAGATCTCATCCTTCTTTGCTTGTTGAACATCATCTGCGATGTATTCCTCAATTAAAGCTGAAGTTAATTTTTTCTTACATTGCAGTTTCTTGCCTTTTCTCCCTACCCTGCCCCTTTGCAGCGAGGCACAAGTATTTCAAAGTTTTTTTGTTTTGTTTGTTTTAATGTTCTGTTGAGTTGTAATTAGTAATTGTTGTAATAATTAAAAGTTGTAATAATTATTAATTATTAGTTGTAATTAATTTTTTGCTCCCATGAAAGAAATTTATTGTGGAGTTTTGTTGGTGTCTTTAGTATTTTGGACATTGTATATCAGACACTAATACCTAAAATGCTGCAGATGGTCCCTAGAAGAGACAAGGTACTAGTAATTGACCTAGTAACTGTCCAGCAATTGACAGTTTCTGGTTTTTTGTTGTTGTTTCCTTTCAGAAGCTGTCAGTGAAATAAGTTGTTGCGCATAACAAAGAATTTATATGCTCCTCAAAGTGTAATTTCTTTCCTATGTTTAGGAGGATTTGGAGGAGGAAGAGGTGGAGGAAGAGGAGGAGGATTCAGAGGAGGAAGAGGGGGAGGAGGAGGAGGAGGATTCAGAGGAGGAAGAGGTGGTGGAGGAGGAGGCTTTCGAGGTGAGTGTGTGGTTTTTACATTTCAGTAATAAGAATGGCTCTGGATTTCTAAAGCTTTTAAATATTAATCAGAATGTTGTGGGTTTTAATCTCTTATAGGTATTTATAGTTCTATGCTAAAAGTTTCTGTGCATCACAGTAGCTAGCTTAAACCGAAGCACAGTATTCTGCTTTTTTTGATGCTTGTGTAGACCACGCTAGTTTTTTGCATTCAAAAAGGACTGTGAAAACAGATAATGATGATAAATTATTTTATTCTGTCAAGTCATTTAGTGTTACGTATATAATTTATTTGCTTTAAATGCATCTAAGATGTGAATTGTTCAGTGTATTTTTCTTCCCTTTTAAAATAGGAAGAGGATATTAAAAATGGAGCCACGAGTATCTCCCCGCTGTCTTACCATATCATCTGCAGAAGTGAAGAACAAGGAAAAATTTTTGTAAAGGACCCTGAAGAAGTTCTTTTTATAAAGAACTTAAAGCTGTAAAATGACAATTATTTTTACGCTTAATGACTGTTGATCAACACATGAGGAGAGCTTAACCCCAGGCAAAGAACTGAAGACTGGTCAGAATATTCTTGAACTTTTTTAACTAAGCCAGGATTCAGTGTTACTCTTAAACTGTTTGACTACGTCATTTGTCAGAAACAATGCTTGACTTCATGTTGGAGTTTGGAGTAAACAATCAATTGAAATGTTTTTTCAAAAAACTCTACGGGTTCAGTAGATGCACATTCGTCAGTATGAACCCCGTTACCTATGTGTGACTGATCCCTAGTTCTCATCCTCCTTTTGTATTGAATCTTCTGGGTTGCTCTAAAGTGGACATGCTGTTTAAACCACCTTTGTGAACCTTTTTTTACAAACTAAACTTCAAAATTTTGTGTTGATAGAAATTTTTTATAGATAATAATGTATAAAAGGAAAGGAAGATAGCAAAGGATATTTTGTGGATTTTTCTGTATAAATCTCAATGAAAGCCAAAGGCATTCAGACATGTTCTTCTTAGAAGCTGCTATCGAATGAATAAGACAAGGTTAATACTATTCTTGAGTCACCTAATTGTATCTAATAACACTGATACTAAAATTGCTAAGGGTTTTTAACTGCCCCAACCTCCCCCTTAATTGAGGGTTTGACCTCTGTCGTGCTCTGAGCTTGCCTAGGGCTAAGATTAGGTGGTCCAGCATAGGGTTCCTCTGCACACAGTGCTTTCAGCTAAGTATTGCTTAAAAAGGGCATGAAAAAATCTGCTCGAGTTTTTGGTCTCTTTAATTGGATGCATTATGAGGATTGTTGAAAAGCTAGTAACTGTCTCTTCTTAAGGATGGAGGAGAACAGGCTGTCTCTCTACTCTTTAACTTTGGAAATAAAATAAGAATAGAAAAATAGAATCTCCCTGGATTTCATCCGGAGCCAGGAGTCTGTTCACAGCCTCTCATACCAAGCACTTTTCAAAAGGGATGTGTAGAATAATCTGCATGAAAGTATTTTGAACATCTTGTTCAATGTGGAAGGAAGTACGTTTCAGAATTACTTGTACTGTTATACTTTTTAATTAATGAATGCAGTAACAGGCAAATAAGTTATATTAGCCTTCTGTTTAACAAAAAGAAACAGGTAATTTGTCAGCACCAGGATTGGACAGTTACTGGTCATTTTAACAAAAGCGTTTGAATAATCTCTGGTACAAAACTTGAAACAAGGTAGCGAAACAAATGTTCAATAAGTCTGAACAGATGTTGCACAGGGTAATAGATAAAAATGTTCTTCAGCTTAAAAAAACAAACCAGAAAACATTGGAATTTCTGCTAGATCTGCTTTTGTGAGAGGTCTGTTCAACCGCAGCACAAACAGGAATTGAGGGATACCGATTATTTTCTTGGGATTGATACAGACTTAACTTTAACCAGGTCAGTCAAATCCAGACCTCTGAAAATGTTTAGACTTCTGTTGCTGTGTATTGCTAGGCCTAAGTGATTTAGGGCTCTGACTTGAGGCATTGTAGAATTGCCCTTTATCTAGACAAAATCCTATGGAAGTCAGTTGCATCTCTGGCGTACCACATTGCAGTTGAACAATACCAACCTGCAGTGAAGCTGGAATTCTCATTACTTTTGGCGTATTTGTAATTGCGTCCTCTGCTGTGCTGTATTTCTTCACTGATGCTTCAGTAGCTCATTGTGGGTAGATGTTTCCTTATTCTGCTGGCTTTGGAAGACTGAAGTAACATAACATCGTATGTTATGTTATGAAGTAACATAACACAGTCCTCACTTTTACACCCAAATTCATGCTCTGCTTTGCTACTCTCACTGCATGCTTTAGAGACATACTTTTTCCTTGGATATCAGGTACTGCCATCACCTTTAAATTGCACGATGTGACAGCTGATGTTTCAATTGCGTGAAGTACCGTCCTGCAGCCTAGGACAAGAAGTGTATGCTTTGAATCTCACAGCAGATGGAGCAGTGAGTCAGCCTGACGCCGTTGCAAGGCCAAAGCAAAGACTTCTGCATCTGTGTGCGGAGGGGTTAAAGAACAATATCCGTTGCAGCTCCAGCGGGAAGATCGGCCTCTTGATTTTAAGCAACTGGATTGCAGTCCCAGCTGATAAATGCATGAGGAGCATTATGGCATGCCCTATGTGTAGAAAAAATGTTGGATGGGATTAACACAAATATCCAGAGAAAATTTATAATCTTAGATCTTTGTGGAGGTTGTAGGACGTTCAGATGCTGATGAAAGAACATCCTTAGTGATAGGGTGTGAAATGAGCTGCCATATGAGGAAGCAATGTCTGGACATGTCCACCATGTGGTGATGCCTCGTTTTCTTTTTTTTTTTTTGTTTGGTTGTGGCAAGGCCCATCCAGTCCCTTTTCTGCCTCCTAATGCAAGTAGTTGCTAACTGTAATAGATGAAAATTCAGTGTCTTAATTTAAGACTACATGTCTTGTCTGCAGTGTAATGCTGCAATGAACTAAAATACAGGTTCTCTAATTTTATATGTCACCTTCCTCTCTGTCTTGAACTTTTTATTCAAATCCTATCTGTGATTCTGTCATTGTGCTCCTGATCCTAGTAAGTGAAGTGTTCGAGTTTTATATATGTGCTTACAGATATCCTAGGGTTTTTCTGCAGAGAATAAGGAAGGTGGGCTCACCAGCACCCTGACAGAAATAGGTATGTCGGCAGAAATGGGAAGTTGCAAGTAGCTGTAGTGTCTGGGGAGAAAAAGTCACAGTGCAGTCAGAAGTAAGGTGGGGGGAAGGGGTGGGGAAAAGGTGTTAGTGGCAGTGTAGGCTTTCGATGATAGTTTGGCGTTCCCTGGATTTCCCCTCACTGGCAGCCTTTGGGGCAAATGGCTGGGCCACCTGAAGAACTCACCTGCCACCCGCTCCAGCAGCGCAAAGGGGGTTGCTGTGCTGCAATACTCCTCTGAAGCTCAGGAAGAAGGTAGGCTTCAGTGCACCCCACAATGCTTGGCTTCCCACCAGGACACAGCAGTCGTGGTGTCACCTACCTGTCTCCTTGTCCACTTGTCAGTGTCTGCGTGTGCTCACTGTTGGCAGAGGCAGGGCATTCAACGCCCAAGTCCTGTTTTCAAAGTGTGGTTGCAAGTGTATGCGTTAGCCACTGTAGTATTTGACCAAGACATAGGGTCTGACTTTCAGCTGATCTTGAAAATGACAGCTGGTAAATCGCTAAAATCAGATTGTTTAAAGGTATTTAGAAGACCTTGAGCTTTTTGTCCTTGCACACTAAAATTCTGGTTTTATATTTTTTCTATGTGGGATCTAAATCCTTGCTAAACAAAGGGTAATACATGGAGGTGTATTGTAAAGCTTAAATTGTTACCCATTGAGAATGGCTTTAGTGCCCTTGCATTCCTTCTTGGAGGGGTGTTTTTCTCCCTGTGTTTTCTGTAGTTGCTGGGGTAGGATGATTGAATATAGTTCATAGATTTGCTATGTTACTTTGACAGAGAAATTTGATGAAGTGCAGAAAATAGTTGGGATATTTTAATGTATGTCTGCAGCACTGTCTGTTGTAGAACAGAAAGGATTCTCTTTAGCACTGACATGAAGTTATGGACGTTTGCCTGAAACAATGCTGGATAGTCACATACCTACTGGTGTAAAGTTATTTGCAGTTGTGCAAAGCATTGTCTTGGCAAGAAACAGCATTGTCTTCTTTTAAAAAAAGCATAGCTACTGCACGAAGTATGGCAAGTAAAAAGCTTTGTGGAGTCACATATCTTTCAGGGTGTTTTCTTCAGTCTGCTGAAAATCTCTTTAGAGTCAAACTTTTCTAATCAACAGTTTAAATCTAGTAAAAGTCTCTGTGAGGAAGGAAAAAAAGTAATTTATATGTTTTCCATTGGGTTTGAACCATTTGCATCTGTTTGTGAAAAGAAGATTAAAGGGAAGTTCTGCCTTATAGAGCCCTCTAGTGGTGATGTGCTTAAGAAACGTGGGAGGGTTTGGTTTTGTTTTTTTGGTGTGGTTACCACTGAAAATAGGAAAGAGGTTTTGTTTTGCTTTTGTTTTTTAATTTTTTTAATACAAACGGTAAGTTTCTCCACTCTCATCATTTGTGGATTGAAATATACTTTACACATAACTGAAAGTAACTTGCTAAACCCTGTAATGAGCTTTGCGTTGCCCCATATCTATACAGATACCTGCAAATTGAAGAATGGACTTAAATAGAAATGGCATTTAGTTGCTACTGATCTGGGTCAAGTGGGAAGAAAAAGTATCACTTCAGGTTATAAAGTGCCCCTCCGACACTAGTAATACTATCTGTTATTGGAGGATAAAAACAGCCTGAGGTTTTGGATTTTTTTTTTTTTCTTATGCCAGTATTAAAAAGCAATGTGGTAAGCCATATTTTATCTGGCTTAGGAACTGTGGTTCCAACTTTCTGGATTATTTGTATACTTCAATATTTAATTCCTTGCTTTATCTTTTTGACTTTGTTTTATGAACTCCAGTGTTCTAGAAAAAATTACTTTTAGGTTAATGATAAATAATGTCTGCCTTTAATTTTGACTTTTTTTTCTCAATTCCTGTTGCTGTAAAATTAACCAAATCCAAGAGAAGAGCACACGGAAACTATGTGATGGTACATAGAATGGACTGCACGTATTAGAAACTTGCGTTTTAACCAACAACTACATGTAAAATCTGTATGATCTTATTAACTGCTACTCTTAAGGCTGGAATCCTATCTGAATAAAAATAGTAATGCTTTGCTTTTCTGAGACATTCAGCATTGCAAGCTCTGACTTCTGTGGAAGCTGCAAGATCTGAGATGCTTTTGAAAATCTTGCCAAGGTTTCAGGGGAGGAAAGCAAAGATATCAAATTATCACTATGCTTTTATCTTTTGAGGCAGGACTATGCGGCACTAGGGAAGTGGCTTCATTGCCAAACATCATCTTTCCTTTCAGAACCCTCCCACCCTGTTCCTGTCTAATCCTCTTCTGACAGGAAAAATACTGTAATAATACAAGTACCCTGAGAACTGTAAGAGTGAGTGTAGATGTGTGGCATTAAAGAAAATGTTTGCTGGTAGAACTGTGACACATGATCGTCTGTAGTAATGATGACTAAATGTTGTGACTGCACAAGTCTTATATAAAAATTTTCCTACCTTTAGATGCAAATGGGTGAAAGATGCAGGATGTCTGTTTTGGAAAGCTGAGGAGTGGGAGGGAATGCTCTATGAGTGTTTCATGGGTTAGAGAAGGGAGAGCTCTCC